GTTGTGCAATGACTGATTAGAGCTCGGGGGCAGAACAACGTAACGAACACCAACAGCCGGCGGCCAATGCACTATAGGCTGGCTGAACACTTTTTGTGGCCAAAATTAATAACTTCAAGCAAAACCAAATATTTGAGTTCGGTTCTTATATTTGGGCTTATAATTAGCAAAGTAACAGAAAAAGGCGTGGCAACGCCCCATTTTGGAGAAATTTCTAGTTGTATCATAAAAAATAATATAAAAATATATAAGAAAGTACTTACCCTAAAAACAAAACATAATTTAGAGGTGTATATTTTTGATTTGGATTTATATCGATATAATGAACATATATTTAGAAAAAAGGTGTGGCGCCGCCCATTTTTCACATGTTAAATCGAAAACAATTCTGAGTTGTCTAACCTGAGGTTGTGACCTAAAAAGCTAAATTGCGACGAAAGTGCGCAAAAGTGCACTTTAGGATAGCATTCATATGAACAAGAACTGAACTACCGACAACACAGTGTAAATATTAAGGTAAAACTAGGTGAAACTCACTTTATATCTCTATTTAAAGTTAGTTTTTATTGTAAATTTGTACACGTAAAGCGACTATAAAAAACACTCAATTACAGGGACAACACAAACAAATCCAACTTGTGACGACCACAAACATAAAGTACAAACCGCTATCTTTCGATGCCATTATAACTTGTTTGGTAAAAAATTAGTTTGGTGCCTTATTTTTATAATTTTAAACCGACTCTTTTTTTCACAAAGTAGCTTTCGTGCGCCCGTGACACCGAACAGCTGTTTTAACAGCCGATATTTTAACAGATCGTGACTCTGTTAAAATTTCTGTTGCGTAACATTGAAGTTTGAAGTTTTCCCAACACTTTGACTTCATTAGATTTTAATATTAACGACTTTCGAAAAATGGATTTTTGGCCACAAAAAGTGGTCAGCCAGCCTATAGTGCAATGGCCCCACATCCCAGCAGCACATCGGGCCAACTTCCCACCGGGGGCCGAGTGACAGCCAGGATCTGAGCCAGCGTTGATAAAAGAAAAGGCAGCAGGAAAAACCACAATACTGACTGGCCAAAATGAGAGAGCTGCCTCCCTGGATCCACTGGGTACACTGAAAATAATAGTATTCAAAAAATTCTAATTGATTAGAATATTTAGTAGGGGTGATCATAAAAACAAGAGATGTAGATTTTAAGGAATAAGGTATAACTAATAGTTGAGTGTATTTAGTGAAATATTTATAAAATGATAGGAAACGAAATATTACAAAAAAACCTAAATGTTTTTAATTATAAGAAATAATTTATGACATTATTTTAATGCTTTATCAAAATGTTACAGATGGAAAACATAAATATAATCCGAACATTAAGGCTTAAAATGGAAACTCTTAATGGAACTACCAAAGTCGTACATTTTCAAGAACAAAACTTTCCTAGAAGTGTTACATTTTTATCAAGTTTGTCAACACCCCTGAAGCATTAGAATATCAAAATAATTACAATAATTTTCTGATGTAGCTTGGTTTTTTTCAGTGCATTGAGCATGCAACATGGACTTGGTCATGGCCGTGCCAACATTGCACTTGATTAGTGGATGCACCGGCAGCAACAAAAACAACGACTATGGAACGGTTGCCGATCTGCGTGGGTCTGGAATGGGGTCGCTGGTAAGACCGTGATTTGTTGGGCAGGAGGGGGAGGGGCAGAGTTCGGGGGCGGGCGGCCAAATCTGGTTACTTGCCAGCTTTCAGCTCCGCTTGCTCTCGCATGCGTTTCATTATGTCAAACAGTCAATCATGCAAAACAATTTCGGCTACCGACAACCATTTGGGTTCACAATTGTCTAAGATACGGTGGGTCTAAAAGATTTGAGGTTCACCACATCGAAAGAAAATGTTGAACAATGCTCTGTGATAACTAAATTCTCATGGGCGTTAGTACTTGAATTAGGCAACCATTACAAAGACTAGATTTGACATGAAAAGTACCTACTTAAGAAAGTATTTATATTTTCATCTGTAAAAGTGTTTTTAAAAACTTTGTAAAATGTTTAAGTACATAGAACAGAGTTGAAATTGCATATATGCCTGTTCAAAGTATTCTAAGTATAAAAAATTTTAATAGAAATGAAAGAACTGTCTCTTTAAAATCTTAAAAGTCAACAATATTTTTTTCAGTAATTGTTTTGGTACCTTGAATTATTATTTATAATTTTTTTGGAAATTAAATTAAATTAAACAAACATTCTTTTAAATGTTTTTTTGCATCCCAACCAACTATCTTTACCACTGTACATCTCCAGTGGCCGACCACATGGACCGAGCACCCCGCAGTAGCCCAAACCAACATCATCAGGAGCCAAAGAGGAGGCTAGCATGTTAAGCATATGCAAAGTCGAGCACCGAAATGCAATGCTTTTTGAACTGCTCTGATTCCCAGCCATGGCCACAGCCTGTGAGATGGACCACACAGTTGGCAGGGTTTTCCTTTGCCGATTTTCCGTTTGGCAATTGAGCGGAAACAATTGCACGTGGAGGAGGCCAGAAGAAAAGGGCCGCCTCGCAAAAAAAGAACACTTTAAGGCATCGCAAGTGCAGCAAATGAGTTTCAAATGAAAACAAATCGACCGACGCACAACAAAGCCTCAAAGGCGGTGGCAATCAAGGAGCAAAATGGAAGGAGCAAGGGCAGCCAGGATCAAACGGGGCGACTGTTGCAAAGTGCAGGAGATGAGTCCTAACTGCCGCTTAGCTGTGGGCCGGCTCAAAAAAATGGCACAAACAATGGAGGACAACGGGCACAGGAGGTCCTGTCCAGGTGACAATAGCCTCTAAGGCGACATTTTCCTTTGGCTTTCCTCTTGCGGGAATCTGAAGACCCCATTGTTCGATCTAGAAACCACACGCAACAGCCAAAAACGATGACGTTGACAATAATTTCGGCTTGGGAATCGTATTAAGGTGCGTTTGTCAACCGGCATCTTCGTGTGTGGCTACAAGTGTGGCCCGTAGCAATTAGAGGTCTTTGGTAACTCACCGCCGGACCCTAGCAAATTGGTTAATAAAGGTGGGAATACTGTCATGTTGTATTTATATATACTTTATATACTTGTTCCTCCCACTTTGATGCTCGCCGCCCAATGAGTGTGCGAATCTGGAGGACCGGCTTCTTTGAGGTTCTTTCAATATTTTGACAGCCACAACAATCGCATCAGTGAAAGATTGCAACCTATTCAGAGCGAAGGCGTTCCCACGTTGCCCAAAGAAAGTTGGCCGATGGAGCCCCCACCCCTTTAATCATAATTATTACACATTTTTGCCTTAGACAGGAATCTCAGCCTGGGGCGCTTTTCCCCAGTTTACTGTTACGGGTATCATTTTTATTAATTACCCAGAGAGGTGCCTAATTACGCTGGGTAAAAGATTACAAAAAAAATGAATGCAAAAAGGCAAAGGCCAACAGCTGTTGGCTGAAACCCAGACTACTGAGCCAAGCTGAGCCCTTGGCTTCATGGCCACATTGACGCGTTCACACCTCGCCAGAAAAAAAAGGAAAAAGCCAAAAAAAAAAAGGAGACAAGAAAGCCTAAAGCTGTTCACAGAGCCAAACGGGCCTGTTTAATAAATATTTTCGTATAAAAATTGCAGCTGTTTAAGAGGGTGACGCCCCCAAGAAGCTGGCAGTGGGATTATGGCCATGTCCTGAGACTAAATATTGTGTAATTCCACCTGCACACTTCACGCTGCCTCCGCTAATTTTATCATTCTTGATTTTGCACGCTTGTGATTTTATTGCCGTGAAATTGCCAATAATTATGAGACAGTGCGAGTTCTGGTTCCCTGCGTCGGTTTTCATGCGTTAATCAGGTTTCAGGCCCTTTTCAGGCCCTTCATGGAAGATTTTATCGGCCTAATCGGCGGAGTAGATTCAGAGCAAACGGGGGAAACTCCGATTGCCAATTTCAGAACTTGCGGGAAACTCGAAAAACTCTTCTCATTATGCTATACGGCTTTTGGCAGTTGTTCGCTTCTTTAAGTCGCTTGGCGAAAACTTCATGGCAACTTTAATTTGGCATTTTCGCTGCCTTTCCCTGCTTTTGCCCTCTATCTCCCAGAGATCTCGCTCTGTTTTCCCCATTTCCCCACTTGTTGCTACTCTGTGTTTGGCACAAATTGGCTTAAGCCCGCACAAAACGCTTTTCATCATCATGGCAAAAGTTTTCCGGCTCCGCTTTCCGCGCTTTTGTCACAAGTTTCGCTTTTGCATGCAGTTCTTTATCCCCAGAATTTCCATTCCCTGCCCGCCAAGCGCGAGTAATTGCATTGCATGTTGCGCTGCATTAAACATTAATAATTTCACTTTACTCAATTTTTGGAATCGCCTTTGGCTTACGTTTGCAGCGCGGCCGTTGTCGCAAAAAGTCGTTATCATTTGGGGGCCATAACTGGTTCGCAAATGAGAAATTCTGGGAATGCCCTCTGAATAGATAATGTTATTTTATGGTCTCCTCATGTTTGTTGGTCTGCGGGGAAGTTAGCCATATATTAGCTTAGGGTGGATTTATGGAGAGAGTTTTTCAAGTTTAGTGGGAAAATATGCAAGCGCTACTGTAACAAAGTAAATTTCTAGTGCTGAAAATATGAAACTATTTCCAAAATGTTATCTTTCGTTATAAAAAAAGCAAGAAAAAGCTTCCTTCTTACTTGTATGTACTTTTACTCTCAACAATAATTTAAGGTGAACAAACTTAAGTAAACATCTAAACCTAACAGCTGTGACCAGTTGCATATTTTTTCGGAAGTAAAAACAAGTTATATTTCAATTTTCATTATTAGTTAATGCCTATAATTATTAACAAGGTAAGAAGAACTAAAACATACTTTCTAAATTAATTTTAAATACTTAATATGTTATTAATATTAATACTTAAATGTTACTTAGTTGCCATGGCTTTTAAGGAATATAGGGTGACAACTCTGTTTCCAGCAGATTGGTTTTATCGAGCAAGAATTGCAAACGCAGCAAGCGGGTTGAGTTGTGAAAAATTTTTACATCCGACAATTCAGTACGACGTTTGACATTAGTTAAATTGATTTCAGACTGTGCGCACTTGCCCGGCATAAATAATTTTTCCTCTCGCGATTCCAAGTCCGTCGAAAGTCAAATTGTTTACTCCGTCGAAACAGGTGAGACCTGCCTCAGATTCTTTGGACCAGGAGGACACGGAATTCACGAATCTCCTGTTTAGCAACGAAATGCTCTAGAAGATTCTTTCGGATGACGGTGAAGAGCCCTTAAAAAGCCCCAAGAATGTGACGACCACGAAGGGTCAGAAAAAGCGCAGACGGAATTCCAATTTTTTTGACAGGTAGGAACGGAACAAATAATTTAATTTATAGCTGAGCTGCTAAAATGTTTTCCGTACATTAAAATGGGCTTTCTTCTATTCAGTGCCCAAATGCCTGTAGAAGATTCAGGAAGAAATGAAGACTTAAAATCAGACACCTTTGTCCGAACTCCTTCCGTCCTGGTAAGCCATCTTTAGTAAATTAGGCGAAAAATGCAAGCCATTTCATTAAAAGCATTTCAGTGCTCCAATCTTAGAACCGTCGCCCGGCAAGTTTTGACTGCAGGCCGTCGTTTTTAAGGTTGCCAACCAGGAGAGCTCTAAACCCATCCAAATCATCTAGAGTACTCAAAGCCCGACGTTTACCAACCCAGAACAAGCAAAATTTCGCAAAGTTGATGCTGAAGAGCCGGAGTTTGGAAAACGAGTGCACAATGAATTGGACCTGGAAACTTCGAGAGATTTCGGCTGTAGAGCCAGTTAAAGAAATGCAAATGAACGAGCATAGACCACCAGATACTCCGATTCCTGACTTTTCTGAACATTGGGGCTGACAAGCTCCTTGGCTACCTCGCTTTCAAGGACAACGGCTCCTGGTTCTGCGGATGTTGACTTGGGATCAATCCCACCAAAGCCCCAAGAGGAGTCAGATTCAGGAGTCGAAACAGCATTACAGGTTGACCATCATCCAGCAACTGCAAATAATAAGTGAGAAGAGCCTCAAGCCAATGGAGCAATTGTGCAGAACGAGTAACATTACGCCCATACCAGTTCGTCAGGAGCAGTGCCCCCAGAAGATCCGGGTCCTCAGAAGTCCTGCCAGGCCTTAAAGAGAGCCCTTGCGCCTGCGCTTTAAAATTAAGTGCTGTAAACTGTTCCACTCTTCAAATGTATCTTAAGTTGTATCTTAAGATGGCTGCAATAAGAATGGATAATACCGTCTTCAAAAACGACATAGGTGTGATCGGATTGCGGATTGCGGTCTCGCAGACATAATTCGAGCATCTTGTGGAAGCAATCGACCATGAAATTCACCGCTCCTATGGTTTTGGCCACGAAATCGCTTCGGGTTTCGTTCACCATTTCCTAACTTCTTCCGTTCATAATCATCAATTCCACGTTGATGATTATAAACGGAAGAAGTGGGAAAATGATGACCGACACCATAAGCAATATCGTGGCCAAGACAGGGACGCTGAATTTCAAGGTCGATCCCTCCCACAAGCTCCTCAAAATTATGCCTGCGAGGCCCCAAATCGAACCTCGATCACTCCTATGTCGCTGTTGAAAACGGCAATGTCCATTCTTTTTACATCCATATCAAGATCCAAAATTGGGTTCATTTGGGCATCATAAATGGCTTGATGATGATTGTGAACGGAAGAAGAGAGGAAATGACGGTCGAATAAAATCCTGCTCTGGGCCAGCTTTCCTGTTCTTCAAAATCAATCAGAAATCGAAGTAAAGAATGCGGGTCCTTACTTCGATTTCTGATTGATTATGAAGAACCGGAAAGCTGGCCCAGAGCACGATTTTATTCGACCGTCATTTCCTCTCTTCTGAATATGGGAAATCCGATAGCTGTCCACAAACCCTAAAAAATATTGTTAAATGTTTACACAGTTTAATAAACAATAATTTTTCTAATTCTGAGAAGATAATATGAAAATATCACATCAGGTGTTTTCGGTACACCGATTATAGTTAAAACAAGGAAGAACGCTATAGTCGAGTACCTCGACTATCAGATACCCGTTACTCAAAGGGAAATGGAGATATGCAAGCAGCAAAGCGAAATTAAAATGCGCCACCTACCGGCGGTAGACAGATTTAAGCGTTATGGGCGTTAGAGTGGGCGTGGCAAATTTATTTTTGGATCAATCGATAGGTATTGACGACACCAATACATTTCAGTTAAAATTTTTTATCTAGCATGCAAATTGTGGGCGTCACAGGTTTTCGCGGTTTGTGGGCGTTTAAATGGGCGTGGAAAACTTTTTTTTAAGTCAATCGATAGGTATTGATGAGAACAATACATTTCAGTTAAAATTTTCTGTCTAGCATCTGTAGGAGTTACAGTTTTGGGCGGTTTGTGGGCGTTAGAGTGGGCGTGGCAGTCTACTGAAACAAACTTGCGCTGCGTAAGAAGCTCAGGAATCTGTACGCCAAATTTTAATAGCCTAGCTCTCATAGTTTCCGAGATCTCAGCGTTCATCCGGACAGACAGACGGACAGACGGACAGACGAACAGACGGACATGGCTAGATCGGCTCGGCTAGTGATCCTGATCAAGAATATATATACTTTATGGGGTCGGAAACGCTTCCTTCTGCCTGTTACATACTTTCCGACGAATCTAGTATACCCTTTTACTCTACGAGTAACGGGTATAAAAAGAGAAAACGTTATGGTCGATGGACTTGACTGTCAGATACCCGTTACTCAAATCAAAGAAGTGCGTGAGAGATGGAGATATGCATGCAGCAAATCGACCTTTTACGATATTTCACACCACTTTCTTATATTAATGTGACTTATTAGATTTATAATTCATTAATATAGATATTTTTCCAAAAACAATTCGTTCTTAAATAGTTTAATTTTTTCATATTACTTTTTTGGATAACCACCATTTACAGGATTTAAATGTCTGAAACAAAGAATTTTGCATTTAAAAATAAATAATGGGGAACGTTTCAATATGTATCATAATATGTACTACAGTAGGGTTTTCTTAATTTGAACGCAATCGCTTTTTATTTTCTTTAGTGAAAAGCAATATATTAAAGACTATAGCTTAATCACAGCTCTAATCCTCTTTTGATTTCGTCTTAAATTCTTTTTTCCCCGGCCAGTCTTAGTTGGTAGAACGGAAGCCTGTGAGTCTCACTTCCCTGCACCGGATTCACAGTGAATCACTTTACATCACTTCCTGTCCCCTGGCCACCTTCCCACCAAACAAGATTCCCATTTCGGCACGCTTATTAACAATGGCCGGCATTAACTTCTGCCTTTCGGACCACGTGACATTTGTCTTAGCCGGCTCAGCCGGCAGCGGGCCATTTAGCCACGCTTTTTGTTGCCAAAGGATAATGGCCGTCCACCCGGCTACCAGGTGGGTGCACTAAGTGCCGCTCAAGGTGAGATACCAACCCGCTGCCCCTCCCCGTTTAGACCATCCCATCCCGTCATAATTTGCTGTGACTAACTGCGCTTTGTGCGCGTGCAGCGGCAAACTGGACACACGTACCGCGATTGGCCACGCATGCGCAGGGTCCACTGTCCCGAGACCCGAGTCCAGGGTCCAGATTTCAGAGATCGTAGTGCTGAATCCATGGTAGTGCCTAGTTAGTAGCCGGGAAATGTCAACTGCCGGCTGGATGTCCAATTTGGCACGCTCCGAGCTGCCTGTGCAATCAACTTAATGGCATGTCATAAAATGCAATTTCAAGGCTTCTGCCTCCGATTCGGTAGTCCTGCGACTTCTGCTAAATCTTTTGTGCCTTGGCTTCATGGAATTCCGTATGACCGACCGCTGGTCATACGTTGCAAATATTTTGGCCCAAACACAGTGTCAAGCTGCGTCAAAGTGTCTCGAAGGACCCAGAACTCTCTCCTTTAAAGAAATTCCAACTCGTGCTGCGTGCCATCCTGGAAAGTTGTTTTGTTTGCGAATTAGTCGGAAGCTAACTGTTGTTTACAGTGTTTAAATAGTCTGCGGTTTTCGCTCAGTTTCAGCTGTCATTCAAAACAATAAGATGCATCTGTTCGGTAGTGGAATATTCCCCAGTTGAAGGGCCACCAGGCAATCACGCCCTTGAGAAATGTAGAGATGCAAAAGGTTTTAAGAAAGTAAAAATGGATTTTTCTTAAATATTTAATTATTCTAGTGCCAGAAATAAAAAATGTATATTTTTTTGTAACATTCATAATTATTATAGGCAATGTAGTCGCCAGCAATTATTTTTTTACATGCAAAAAGGAAATAATTTGCACAATGAAATATTGTAAAATTATTGTAAAAAGGCTACAAATTCAAAAATCATTGGTAAAAAAAATTTTACTTTGCAAGTTTTTATTATAGTGAAGTTTTTGAAGAATAATATTTAGTCAACATTTTTAATCAACCATTAAATACAACAAATAGAGTAGTCATTAGAATCTTTTTAGGGCTTAAAAAAATATTTAAGCATTTTTGTTTGTTCCAAAAAAATCTGACTATCAATGTTTATCTGCAATGAAGAAGGGGATCCTATCTTTAATCGTTTAAAATTGTATAATTTTTCTCCTGAACCAATAAAGGCAAATAAATATATAATTCCCATTGTAGTGAAGTGTCTACTTTGTTCCCAAAAACATATGCAAATTCTGCATTGATTTTTGTTACATTTATATTTTCTTTATTTTAATCCGACTTGTCTAGTTGACTGGAATCCATGGCCGGCATAAATTGAATCTAGAGCAGATGTGGCAGCCACTTTTGCATTTAGGGCAATTGCCAACAATTGCAGCTAATTGGGCCGAACACACTCGACTCCAGGGTCCAGAGTCCAGAGTCCAGAATCCAGGCTCTTCTAAGCTGCTCTAAGTACTGCACTTGGAAAATTGAATATTAATGCCCGGATTCCACTTGAGGTGGCCGGCAAATTGCGACCGATGGCATGCAACAAATTACAGACAAGCCTCACTGTTCCTCCCAAAACGCAATTGAGCGAGCAATTTTGCGTTGCAAGACGCATTTCCATTCGCCACGCCACACAGCCAAGATCGCATTTGGATCGCATCTGAGCCCCTGGGCAGCTGAAAGCAGATAGAACTCGACTGAGCTGAGCTGGTCTGAGCCAAAAAGGACATTTCATTAGCACTTTGGCATCTTCTACGCATCGCACAGTGGAAGTCCTCAGTCGAGCGTTGAAAATTCGGGTTCGTCACGAGCGATTTGCTCTTTTCACAATTTCCTCATCCCAAGGCCTATGGGTCCTCGTGTGTGTCCCCTGGACATCCCTAGACCCGCCATACCATCCCAACTGAGCCCGGTAAATGTGTGTCAACCTCGTAAATCCTGTTTGAAATTAAGCGCGCTGCAGGCAGGCGGCCTGTAACGAATTTCTTATTTGATTTTGTGCATACTTTGTCACTTACAATGTGTTAACTTCTGTAGGAAAAACAAATTTTCCCCGTTTCGCAACGCTTTTCGATTTTGAAATGCTCTTTAGCCCCTTGTTCCCTCGCCCTCCCCCTCGGCAGATGTGTCATGCCAACATTTCTATGGGGTCACTAACAAGGTGCGGTAGAAGTTTCATAGGGGATCTCTATAGGAACGGGGCAGTACCAACTGGAATACTAATGCTCGGAATGGTTCACTGCAGCGTAACAAAACGCGTTTATGGGGCGAGTATAAATGCGATTTGTGGTTCATTTTTAGGAACAAATTTGGGAGCTAAATATCACCAGATAGGGGACTTGTTTTAATAATGAATGAAAAGTAGATAGAACCATTTTATATGTAAAGTATACTTTATAAAATTGGTTACTCTTCATTAAAAGACTTTAACTGTATTGAGGGAACCCATATTAAAATCATGTGTCCAACCGTTTTGGTTAGAATTTTAATTTTCTTTAACGATTATGAAATTTTTAACACATTTTAGATACTACTTAATGAACGACGAAGGTGTTTTCGTTAGGTATACCTACCTGTTTCATAGAAATACATACTTTAAGTAACTAAATGGTTTTGCCTTTTTCATATTTAACATTGTTTAACCAAAAGTGTATATCCTTTCTCTATTTGTTGAAAAGTCCTAACACTTTAGCTAATCTCCCCCTACTTGGATTGTTTATCTAAGGGCTTTTCTTGCATCTTGAGGCAGACAATAATCAGTTTGGTTAGGATCTTGAGACGAGGGTGGCGGCTGCAGTGTGCCGTGGATAATTGAGATCTCTCAAAACAGAAGCCTAGACACAGCAAACTCGAAAGTCTTAAAAAAATAAACAGTCTGCGCTGGAGTATTATTGAGGCCTCCTCCTAATCCAGAGGAGAGAGACCATCATGCGGTAGGTCATATTCCGAACAGACATGGACAATAACCCGAAAACATATTGCCCTCACACCCAGGACCTAAACACTAACATATTCCCGTAGCTCAGACAAAAAAAAAGGGAATCGAAAGAGCAAAAACAAGCGGTTCTCAGGAGTCCTGGCAGCGAAACAACAAGGAGCACTGTAGAGTTTCAACTGTAACCACACCACAGTGGCCCAAGAACACATATGGCCAACACACAGGTACATGGCTGGCTGCACAGCATCAATTGTAAAAGGATTAGGGCTTAATTTGAAATGCGCATTCATTTGCACTCCGCTCCATGCTGGCCAACGCTGGGAGCCATCCAGCTCATCCTCATCCCATTCCCATTCCCATTCCCGAACCATATCGTTCTATATCCTCATCGCTGTAAGCGGATTTCTGAGTGCAGCTTGCTTGTTTTTTGCTGTCCCATTTGTTTGTTGTTAGTTTGGCTTTTCTATTTTCTATTTTCTCGATTTTTTGTGTGCGGCTCTCATTAGTTTCCAAATAGCTGCATTAA